CACGGTGTGTTAGCGATGTGACGGTCAGATGGCTCACAGACTCTCCGTCAGCTTTAGTCGATATGAGGATCCGGTTTAGCTCATCACATGTGATTTTTCACATGTTCGGGTTTAAAACGCAGACATGTAGGAGGTACACAAACGCTGCTCCTGACTTCCTGCTTATCAACATGTACAGTATTGGCTGGACATGGTTTAGGTGAAGAACTTACATTTCAGTAAGTGTATGCCTTATAATCCAACATGGAGCTCCGCCCTGAAATCATCCCTCAACCCCCAACGCCAAGCTAGCTTAGTTTAGCATCAAGATTTACAATTTCCTCATAATTCCTGCGTCCTGTGTTCTGTCAGCGCCTCTGCATGAGGCAGCCATGAGAAGATGTACACACAGGTTCACAAGATCACAGGAGAATTATAACATCACAGGAAAACTACAAGATCACAGGAGAAATACAAGATCAGAAGAGAACTACAAGATCACAAGAGAACTACAAGATCAGAAGAGAACTACAAGATCACAAGAGAACTACAAGATCACAGGAGAAATACAAGATCAGAAGAGAACTACAAGATCACAAGAGAAATACATGATCACAGGAGAACTACATGATCACAGGAAGACTACAAGATCACAGGAGAAATACAAGATCACAGGAGGACTACAAGATCACAGGAGAAATACAAGATCACAAGAGAACTACAAGATCACAAGAGAACTACAAGATCACAGGAGAACTACAAGATCACAGGAGAAATACAAGATCACAAGAGAACTACAAGATCACAAGAGAACTACAAGATCACAAGAGAACTACAAGATCACAGGAGAACTACAAGATCACAGAAGAACTACAAGATCACAGGAGAAATACAAGATCACAGGAGAAATACAAGATCACAGGAGAACTACAAGATCACAGGAGAACTACAAGATCACAGGAGAACTACAAGATCAAAGGAGAATTACAAGATCACAAGAGAACTACAAGATCAGAAGAGAACTACAAGATCACAGGAGAAATACAAGATCACAGGAGAAATACAAGATCACAGGAGAACTACAAGATCACAGGAGAACTACAAGATCACAGGAGAACTACAAGATCAAAGGAGAATTACAAGATCACAAGAGAACTACAAGATCAGAAGAGAACTACAAGATCAGATCACAGGAGAATTACAAGATCAGATCACAGGAGAACTACAAGATCACAAGAGAACTACAAGATCAGATCACAGGAGAACTACAAGATCACAAGAGAACTACAAGATCACAAGAGAACTACAAGATCACAGGAGAACTACAAGATCACTGGAGAACTACAAGATCACAAGAGAACTACAAGATCACAGGAGAACTACAAGATCACAAGAGAACTACAAGATCACAGGAGAACTACAAGATCTAAGGAGAACTACAAGATCACAAGAGAACTACAAGATCACAGGAGAACTACAAGATCTCAGGAGAACTACAAGATCACAAGAGAACTACAAGATCTCAGGAGAACTACAAGATCACAAGAGAACTACAAGATCACAGGAGAACTACAAGATCACAGGAGAACTACAAGATCACAAGAGAACTACAAGATCACAGGAGAACTACAAGATCACAGGAGAACTACAAGATCACAAGAGAACTACAAGATCACAGGAGAACTACAAGATCACAGGAGAACTACAAGATCTCAGGAGAACTACAAGATCTCAGGAGAACTACAAGATCACAAGAGAACTACAAGATCACAGGAGAACTACAAGATCTCAGGAGAACTACAAGATCACAAGAGAACTACAAGATCACAGGAGAACTACAAGATCTCAGGAGAACTACAAGATCACAAGAGAACTACAAGATCTCAGGAGAACTACAAGATCACAAGAGAACTACAAGATCTCAGGAGAACTACAAGATCACAAGAGAACTACAAGATCACAAGAGAACTACAAGATCACAGGAGAACTACAAGATCACAAGAGAACTACAAGATCACGTGGGAATAAAGATAAAACCATGCAAACAACATGTTGCTTTGTCTTTCTGAGGATGATTTGTTGTTCATTCTGTTTTGACGTCATGTTGATAAAGTGATGGAAAATACGATCAGGAGTCTGTATATTGTCTTTTATTTTGAAATTGGCCGGACGCTCTGTGCATTTCCTTGTCTGACTTCCTGTCTGGGTCGTTCTATTCTGTCCAGCTTGGCTTGTGCTTGCATCATGTTCCGTTGAAAAATGGACTGGAGCAGAGCTCTGCAGACGGACTGCAGAGCGTGCTGTGGAAACATGACTACGGACCACAGCGTGCACCGACTCTGTGGAAATTGGCAGTAAAAGCTCCTCTTGAAATCTCACATATGAACATCATACAATTTATATCTTGTTTGTTAAAGCGAAAAGTAGAACGTTAAGTGATAAAACACATCGATGAGTCGTCCAGGATTAACTGAAAACATCATGTAGAGGAATGTTTCTTTCAAGAGTTTAATGTAAGGATCAATATGTGGAATGAATTAATCCAAATGATCAACATCTGGTTTGTATCCCTTCAGAGAATCAGCCCTTAAAAGAGAGTCAGAAACGAGTAAAGTGTCTGCTGTCAAAACGCCCCCTGCATGACCGCATGGCTGGGCTGTAATAATAATCTCAGAGCAGGTTAGAGAAGCTAAGACAACCTATGTTTCCATCCTCGCACTATTGTTATTCTGTATCCGAGGGCCTTCCTTTGTTTCCCCCAAGCAGGGTGAGATTAATGCTCTGCTCCCTTAGATTCAGTGTTGTACAAAAGAAAAGTCTGTCGCTGCCTCCACAGGGAGCGATGATGGTTACATTTCCACAGAACAGATGACAACAGCCTTTCATCAAAGCTAACACTAGCTTTTCCTTGTTAACTGCGGCGCAATCATTCCTCACTCTCATGCACGGCCTTACACACTTATTCATCTCACACACGTTTCATTCATGTGAACTCTGCGCATTACAACACAATAATAGACGGACTTTATGTATGTATACAGAGAGAGAGAGTCAAAGCAGCTGCATGCACGAGTGTGTTTGTGTGTGATCCAAGATCAGGCATCAACAGTTCCTCTCTCTCTCCATCTCTCACTCTGCAGCTCCGCCGTCTCATCCCCCCCCCCCCCCCGCGCAGCTCGACTCATCCACCCAGAAACACCTCCACTTCACTCAGTCTGTCTCGCACAAAAGAAGTACAGAGACATGAGGAAATCAAAGGGATTTTTTTTGTAAGGCGCTGTTGTCCAGCCCAGCCTGCAGTCCGTGTAATTTGAGGAAATGGGAGGTTTTTTTTGTGTCATTTATGCTGAGCCATACCAGTGTGGATTTAATTGAAAACGAATGTCTGGTGAATTTGAGCGCACATATAGGCAGTAATTTGGGGGGAAATAACTCCCAAAGATCCAAGGCCGTCTGGTGAGGAGCTGCAGCGAGGCTGTGAAGGTTGTTGTTAAGATTTTTTGGAGCTTGGTAAACGCTGAAAAAACAAGGAGGAGGATAAGCCGGCTTTTGACATGCAAAAGAGAGAGGTTTTCTTTTCTCTCCCAAAAGAATCATATTTCACTTTCAAAGAAGCTGAAGCAGAAACCCTGACTACAGATTTGTTTTTGAACACCTCCTTCTAAACCTTGAGTTTGGCTTTTTTTTAGGCTGTCGCTATCATGCCTTTTTTTTTTTTAATAGAAATGACAAACGGCAACCTCTGGTGTTAAAAAATGAAGCCAATGCTTAAGTGCAAAAACCTGCAGTTCCACCAGTGTCCACGTCGGGCCGGCTCCAAAAGACCCAGAAGTTCTCTTCCACACTCATTAAAATGTCCATTTTTACAGCAGAGATGTTTATGTTTACATCCTGGTTCAAAATAAGATTTTGGTCTGATTGGTTAATGTCTTTTGCATCAACCGCAATATGAGCAATTTTTTTCCTTACCTGTTTTGTTTATATAAAGGATACAAGTTATGCATAATAAGGGGCGTGATCAATCTGACTGCAAGCCTCCCTCGATTTAACGGTTTGTCAGGAGGCTTAAGACCAGCACTATACTCTTTGCCTGTCGTTAGGTTAACCATAAGTTTGATATAGTCAGCATTTCCAATTTGGCATCATCACTCAGAAACAGGATATGAATTGTTTCCTCCCTTTCCCGGCTGACTGTGTTGGCAACTTATCCGTCATAGATATCATTATTAATTTAACTTTTAATGTCGACCACAATTTACCTAAAACTGACCTAAAAAGCCTCTGCATGTTTCTAATAAGCTCCACGAGCAGAAACGTGCTCAAACTAGGATCAATATTGGAGATGCTTTTGAAAAATGGAGAGAGGTTAGAACACAGAAAGGTTTACAGACCCATGCAGAGCTGGATAAACACTGAAGCTTCAGAGTCCACCACATGGTGACCTGAGTGAGCATCCGCTCTAGAGAGGGGGGGGGGGACAGCTCTCTATGATGTTTAGAATTTAGACTGCAGTACCCATTTTAAACACTAGGGGTCAAAGTTACATACTGCTCCTTTAAGATTTTATTAGTGTAATTTATCTGCCTTTTGTAAACTCACAATACAGATTCAGTTAGTCATTGTTTTTGGTAAAGCATCATTTAGATTTTAGTTTCAGTTCACAAAGTTGCTTTTTACATTACTCTTTGTTATTTTGTTAGTTTTTTTCTTATGATAACACCTTAGTTCCTAACAATCTGTAATTTTCACATTAAGTAAAAACGCCCCCTGCTGGCCATTCAAATAAAGCAGCTTTAAGGCACTTCTTCTTTTGCTACCCTTTTTAAACCAGAGGCTACTTCCACGACTCGATGATTTACGATGCAATTCTGAGAACACAATGTTGTTGGCTGTTTTAGCATCATGTCGTTAACTATGTTTCGCTCCCACAGAATAATCCAGAAGCCCCGGCCTGATGACTTGCAGTATTGTGCATTATGAAGTAGCATAGTTTGACTGGCTGTCTTTCTCTCCCCCTGCAGACAATGACATGGAGGTTACAGAGGAGCAGCTGCAGGGAGGTGAGTGACAGACTATTTCATGGCTGCCTTTCCTTCTTAACACCTCCATTAGAGCACACACACACACACACACACACACACACAGCGTCATCCGCTGACAGTGATTTGCAGGCTTTTTTATGCGGCGGATGAAATTGAATGTTTATTCATCTGGTGACAAGTTGAATGGTGGCTCTGACACGCGGTGGTTAAAAATACTTCACATCAGGTACATTACTTTACAAGAGCTTATATCCACGGCTAATTCCCAACTCCATTCTCTTCATCCGGTTTACACGCACAATGCCTTTAAGACCACCCTAAAGCGGGTGACAAAAAGAAACAGCCGAGCAACATCCCTCGGCAGCACGCGCCAGGTGATAGCACACAAACACAGACTGTCAGCGCATAATGCTTTTATCACAGCAGCATCTTGGCACGCGGCCTGAAACTCCCAGATACTGCTTATCAGGATCAACTATTGACATTTGTCTGTGCGCTGATGTCCTGAATAAGCAATGGCACGAGCGGCGGCCTCTCAGAATTGTGTGTGTTGTTTGAATAGCGGGGACAGAGTTTAGCAGCGGTTCATTCTGGGCTGAGGTCGAAGTCTCCGGTTTGGTTCCTCGCTGAATGAGATGACCTGGAAGTGTGTGAGCGTCGGCCATGATAAGAGCTGTTCAGATAATAAGGAAAGGAGCTTCACTGCCTCCTTAAGTATCTCCTCTAGCCTCTAGGAAGTCTTTCTATGTGATTTTTCACACAATATAATATAAATCAAGTATCTCCTCTGAAAATAACTCTGTGAGTCATGACTGTCTACAATGGGTGTAACACCCGAGTCCCACTGTCTGTGATGTTTTCAGAGTTTTCAGAGTCCTATCTTCACTTTGTTTACATCGCCAGGACGGCCGGCTGACTCCTCCCCTCGTGTATAAAAGTTGTTTAATTGAGGGACTAGAGAAAAGAAGAATAACATACTGTACTCACTGCTTAACTGTGTTTCTAGATCACGCTCATTTCAGGTAAATTTACATGCAGTGTGAAGATACCAGCATAATAAAGATCGCTAGCATTAGCATGCTAACACAACAATGCAGCACGAGTTGTTTTGGGTCATGCTGGTGCTCAAGGGCGACATCTGCTGGATCAAAAAAATCACATATAAAGCCTTGAAGTTTCCCATGGAGGTCAAGGCGAGGTGAACAGGAGAAGACTTATGTGGTAACTTTTTTGACTCGCTGGACAGACAAAATGTGAAATATAAATCCTCTAGAAATGTTCTCCAAGGAACAGCAGGTCTTAAAAAAAGCACCTGTTGGCGAGTTTTCTGCAGCACAGATCGGGGGGGGGTTTTCTACTGTCCCATGAAGACGTCATGCAATCGAACACGTGCAACCACCTAAGCAGAAATCAATGTTAGTTTAAGCGTCTTGTCTTGGAAGTGTTCTCTGCAGATGTTGAACCTCAGGGTGCTATCAAAATGTTTTTCCTCCCTAAAGTCACCCCCCATGATTTGCCAATTACACGCATCTGTGTTTTCAATGAGAGTCCACGGCGGGGGACGGGGGAGGGGGACATAAAAGGGCGGTTTTATAAGTGCACTGTAAAATGTGATATTCCTGAATGTGCACGTAATGTTTGAATCATAAAGACGTGGAGGGAGGATCTGTGTGTGAGCTGCATACTGTATAATAACAGAACCAGAGCAGGTCGAGCCAAAAAGGAAATAACCCCTGATAATTCCTAGCTCTGTTGTATCATCATGCCAGCCCTGTCCTGGTCCAGTTTGGCCTTGTTTGATGGGCTTCAGCAACCAGAGCCAAGAACCGGCCTTTCATTCTGCTCCATCAGCTTTGAGTTTGAATCAGCGCAGCTTGGAGCCCATTCAAAGGTCCGAATGTGTCTGCTATTCTCTCATGGAATTGCCGCTTTTGTCCCTGCGCTGAGCTCTGGAGTTGGTCTCAAAGCCTCGCATTCTTCCCCTGCGCTCCCACATGAGTCGTTTTTTTTTTTTTTTTTTTTTGTCATGCAGGTATAAAACAAAAACAGCACTGAGTTCTCCCGGAGGCCGAGCGAGAAATAATCACCGCTCCGATGAGTTTGGGCTCGCCAAAAAACGTCATCATTACTCTCGCCATCATCTCATATAACTGTTCAATTTGACAAGATGTAACGCCCCGAGTGTCCTGATGCTGTTTGGGGGGATAACGAGGTGCCCCGCCCACGTCTATAAATCACAGTTTATTTCTTGTTTCATTACAGATAACAATCCTCCGTCTGCAAAATCCAAGGAGGACAGCGAGGAGAGCGGCAGAGGTAAGGCCTGTTTGGGAGTGTTTGCATCGTAGACTAAAAGAATCAACACCTCACCTTAAAGGAAGCCAAAGTAGTTAGAGCTCCCCCTGCTGACTGGCTGCAGTATAGGTCACACTGACTGTATATTAAAATAGACAGCGCGTCTCCGTCTTCTTCCATGACATGAGTTGAAGCCAAAATACCCAGAGGAAAGCCGGCTGGTGGAATCCGCTAATATATCTTGACAGTAACATCAAAAACCCTTCAGGTGGGGGCGCAGATGACCTGGAGGTGAGGTCGCGCCCCATGTCAGTGGCTTAAAACCTCCAAGCTGGTGACCAAGTCTGACCTGTGGCTATCTTTCTGCACGTCATTCCCCCCTCTCTTTCTCTCGCCACAGTTTCCTACTCCATCGACTGTCCCATCAAATAAAGGTTTATAAAAGCCCCAAATAAATCTTTAAAAAAATTCCCTCAGGTGAGCAGAGTCCAGAGCAGAACAGGTTTTTGTGTCTTTTTAGAGCAGACACTCAAGTTGATGGAAAGTTTTTTGACTGTATTGTTAGTTTTTTGTTACATTTTTTCTCGCCTTTCTTCCTCTACTCTGATTATCAAGTTGAGAACGTTGCGAGGAGCCACATTTTTCAACTGACAAATATCCTACTAAATGAGTGTAGCGTTGAACTGTAGCGACCGTGGGTGGATTTAACCACCACAGCACCAGCTGATGCTTACAGTATCCTGCAGACTCTGGTTCCTAATGTGCAACATGCCGGTGCCCCGTCGGTGGATATTTTAGGGTCATAAGTTCAACCGGGAAGATATCAGCCCTGGTTACAGACATCGGGTTCATGCTGTATTATTTTACCAATGATCTGATATCTGCAGCCGACGTGTGTCTGTTGGGTCATTACTATTTAATGCTGTAATCGTGCGCACCAATCTCCTGATTCAGAGAAGAAGAGGAAGTCACCTGTTTGACAAACATGAGAGAAAATGTTGTAAAAGAAGTCATGAAAAACCAACATCGGGTAAATTGTTTTTTTCAAACATTAGTATCGGTGATTAAGCCACTCGATGGGTCTCTGATGTTTCTGCAGCGAGAGGTGGTTGAGCCGCGTTGTCCTCACAGTCGGCGTATGATTTGCATGCATGTGTGTTTGTTTTGTACCTAATTCGATTAATATTGACTGCATGTTTGGTTCCAGCAGAGGAAACAGTGTCCGTCGATGTGTGTTAGCATAAGAATCTGTGTTGTGTGTACAAAGTAATGGAGTGTGTACTTGGTCAGTAATCTCCTGCTCTCTCTCGTTGCCAAGCTTCCTCTTTGGGGAAATGAATACAAGATGAAGCTGGCTCTTTTTTTTTTAAAAGAATGTTTTCTTAGAGGCAAACTTGTTTAAGAAGCCATTATCTGGCTATTCTGCCGTTTCAGCCCCTTCGGATGTGTAATATTGAAACAGTTATAGGCTTCTCCGATACGATGGACCAAAGATAATTAGATTCTCGCACTGCAGGGCGTTAGTAGGCAATTAAAATGGTACACCATCCATTTGTCTTCAAGCCTTTAAGGTTGCTGCGGGAATGTTTGAAGATAGCAGCAGGCATGGTTGTTGTCTTCGGGGGGGGGGGGGGTCGGTTCCTCTCTGTGAACGCGGGCGGCCGAAGCACAAACACTTCAAGGGCGTCGATGTTTCCTGTAGCCTTTAAACGCGCCACAATAAGTCATTTCTTCCCCCGTCTTATTCAACGTACCTTTTTTTTTTTTTATATAATCCACAGCAGTAATTCAATATGATTCACAAATTCAATCAGCAGCATTAGGAGGGCATAAGCATTCTGTAATAATCTTTATAAATCCTAATTTATCAGGCCCGGCAGCTTAATAGTAACTAATCCATGCACAAAAGGCCTTGGCACAGCTTTCCAGCATGGGAACACTCAGTCCTTGAGACAACCTCTCTCTCGCAGGAAAGGGGAAAGAAATGATTTTGTGCCGCCTGCACTGTAAAGGTTAGGTCTGGTTCGATGTAGCACATGGGAAGGATTAATCATAGGAAACACTCAGATGTCACGATAGCAGCAAGTGGAGGAATTGCGAGCGGCACAAACAACCTGTCAGCGATGTGAGACGAGACGAGTCGAGATCCACCTCTCTCCGTCTCCCGTGCACTTGTGTGTGTTGAGATTTTCCTTCCACAATAGCACGTCTTTATTTCAGCCTCCTGTCTATACTGCCAGCAAAGCAGGTCACCTATTTGCTGGAGTCAATATGTGGAGCACTTCTTTTTTTTTAGAATAAATTACACTCAGCTGCAGCAGAGGTAGCGGTGGAGTGCGTCTTGTCAATATGGCCCCGGTGTGATCCATCACATCCATCACACTCCTCGGGGGGGGGGGACTCACTCGCCCCTCAGTCCTCGGGTCGGGCATGAGGGGAGCTTTTAGCCACAGCACTGATGAAGAGAAAACATTAAGGCTTTCTTCACTCTGTTTTTTTCATGATGAATGCACGCGTTAGTGTGACCGAGGGTGATTATCAGACTCCCACAAAATGCTACTTTAAGTGTTTTCAGAAAAAAAATCCTTCTTTAGCCTCCGCTGGAATAAAAAGGAGAAAAACAAGACGAAGGCAAACAGTTGACACAAACATGTGCAGTAAGCGGTAACTTACTGTGATGTCAACATCCATGTCAGGTCGATCTGCCCGGGACCTTGAAAAGACGTTTAAAGGCACAGTGTGTAAACTCCACCTCCAGGGGGCTCTCAATCAACACAATGACAAAAAGATAACAGTGAGGCTGATGGGAAATCATGAAATAAACTGCTTTGACTGTAGTCATGACGACCGGGTGAAACCGACCTGAGGAAGAGAATATGTTTACAGATGAGCTGATGTATCCGAGTATAATGTACATGATGTTTTTTATCACTTATGCAGCGACCTTTGACGAAACATCCGATGTTTCCACGACAACGATAAATATTCTGTCTGTCATGGTGGCGGCCTCGACTAAACACGACATGTTACACAATAAAATGAAGGATTTATCTGGCTTTGATAACTGTTGGAAATATTTGAGGTGATGTAAGAACTCAACAAAAAAAAAATATATATAACGGGTTTAGTCAATTTTTATGAATTATATTTTAATATAATAATATAATAATAATATGATATTTTAATTTAAACATTGTGATAAAATGAAGTCCCTTTCAAATAAGAAGCCTTAAAACGTCTTATTTTGTCCATCAGACATCACACATACTCGACTGTTTCTTTAGTTTTAGACTTTTCTTTTTAATCTCTCCCTGCTTCTAAAATCTCGACTTCCCATTTATTTGTTTTCCTTGTGTTCCTTTCAAAGCTTTCCCCCGTCTCATAAATTCCTCCTAAGTGTCCTCCTTCTGTAAACCTTTTTTTAACGTTAAAGCGCCGTACACATTTTTATTCTAATGACTTTTATTTAAAGACCAACGCAACAGGGGACTTGTTTGGATATGATGAGCAGTGATTCTTCAAAAGAAGCCACCACACGATCCCTCATCAAGTACAAATAACCCTGAAGTGTGTTTGCAAAAGGGGGTCACAGATTAACAGTGTGTGTGTTTATGTGTGTGTGTGTGTGTGTGTGTGTGTGTGTGTGTGTGTGTGTGTGTGTGTGTGTGTGTGTGTGTGTGTGTGTGTGTGTGTGTGTGTGTGTGTGTTGTGAGCGATGCTGTGATGTAATCCACATGAAACAGAAGTACAGTGTGCGGATGCTGCGAGCTAAAGAAAAAGAGACACAGAGCGGGGAGAAGAGGGGGGTGGAGCAGAGAGGCGACGGCTGGCACAGAGGTCCAGGGCAGAGTGCAGCCCTCTTTAAAGCACACCTGACTTGGCAAGCGCCATGTGTCTGTTATTTGATATCGAGGTTGGTTTTAGTGAGATTAGCGGATGTCACAGGGCGCGGTAAAATGTGAACATCGAGTCAGAAATCAATGCCTGGCTCGCCCGCTTGAGTTTTCCCAAAAAAAAACAGATCGACACACAGATGAATAACCTCATGTGTGGACGGACAGTAAGCCTCTCCATGTGACGCCCCCCCACTCCCCTTTTTACACCACAGCGCCCCATCCAGCCTCACTTTCAGACACACGAGCACTTTGCTTGCACACACACATTGACATGCTTTGAATGATCGCCGCCGGTCATCTCAGAGCCCCTTTTTCTTTTTTTCTTTTACACATGTCTCATGAATTTTTCAACTCCCGCCCTTTTTTTTCTTCTTCTTCTTTTTGGTGCTTTGGTCCGGTTGGCTTTAATGGAAGTGAAAGGAGACGGCGTTTGGGGGTGAGGAGACAGAGCTGGAGTTCACTTTTACTTTCTCTGAAATATCCTCCGCAGTCGATGTTTACTTCGGGGTCATGCATATAGCACACGCAGGGAAAGGTTGCATATCAGCATCTAAATTCTTTATGTCCTTGAGATACTGTACCCCCCCCCCCCATTTGGATCTCATGTTGACATAAATAAATCATCTAAGTGTGTGTGAACACTACGGCCATGCCCCTCATTCAACACGAGTGCAGACGAGTGCCGAAAATTGCCTTTTAGTCGCCATCTTTTCTGAGAGTGGAATCCATGGGAATATTGACACTAAAAGTCTTTGGCATGCAGCCTTTGCTGTGTGAAGTGTGACAGGCCCTGATTCTCAGAGAAGACACTCTTTAGTGCCGTGAGCATCACGGGGGCCGAACGCTGTAACAATGCTGCCACCTGCTGTTGGGAGGACACGAGTGATGGAGGTGCTCTCTTGGTGCACAGACAGTGCTCTAATTGCACTTAACTTGCAGCCATTGTAAATCAAATCTGCCCTACATAGACTCTTTTGTTGTCTAGTGTGTGTGTGTGTGTGTGTGTGTGTGTGTGTGTGTGTGTGTGTCTTATTGTTTCCTTGCAATGTGTCCTTTAGCCACAAATTGAATACTGCTGTGTTCGATAAGCCAAACATGAATGATCAAATAAAAGGGAGGAAATTACATCCAGCCCTTTGTCCTATCTGATAGATTGTAGTTTGGGATCACTTTAGACAAGTCCTGCATGATTTTAAAATGCAGAATTAAAGTTAAAGATGACCTTATAGTCGGGAGAGGCATTCATCTTAACCTGCTTTTCCCCCCGTTGAAGTATCCTCTTTCAGCCCCCTCGTCCATGTCTCCATCTCAAAATGCCAGTCATGATTAATAGAAAGGATTGCCATCTTCTGTGTGTCACCAGCATTCTGCGTGACGGACAGGAGCACTCGACACAAACAAGCAGTGCTGGTAGAAGCTGGCCTTTTCCCCCGTTTAATAGAGGATGGCATTTTTATTGTTGTGGGCGCAGGGCAAAATTGCATAGATATGAAAAAATGGTTTCTCTCCACACAGCTTGTTAAAAAAGCAATTATAGAAGCTGCACAATGGCCATTGTGGAGCATGTTCTCTTATTGGTGTCATGGCTTTCATTTAGTCAATTTGTCCCAAATGTCATTGGTTTATGGTGTGTGTGTGTGTGTGTGTGTGTGTGTGTGTGTGTGTGTGTGTGTGTGTGTGTGTGTGTGTGTCGTACAAGAATGTGTGAGAGCCAGACAATGGGGGTGAGGAGGGTGGGTGGGTGGGGGGTAACAGATATAATGTAGGGATTAAAGGTGTTTTATGTCACCACTCAAATCTCTCTTTTGTGTTTCATAAAGGAGGTGTTGTTCAGGCGGAGGACCGTCGGGCTGATTATGTTACAGCGAGCGTCTTCAGCTCAGAAACAGTCTCACTATACGATTAGAAAGCAGATTCCTCACGGATGATGTTTGTGTGAAATATGCATGAAAAAGCATCTCGTCTCATATCATCTAAAGCCCTTTACTGACTGTGATTCAGCGTCAGCGCCTTAACAGAGATCCTCTGCGTTAGAAGCCTTTGTTTGTATCCACATTGGTGCAATATTGTTCCTCAGGTTTGGTCTCTGTTGCTACCTCCGATGGCGGTTCAGGGGCGGGATGACTTTGTCCCACCATTCTGCCTGCATACGTTCAGAGGTGTTGCTTGTCAACAGGCTTGGGTCCCCTGACCAGCATGGGGGCCCCTGAGAGCGCACAGACTTAAACTGAAGCAGTGTCCCAAAATGTGCAACGTTTTTAACATCAGTAGGAAACCTCCCTAAGGGGGCCCCATCTCACAGCACTCACTGTCGTTGCCCTGCTAAGCGTTGCATGCCTTATTGCTGTGAAATACAAAGTTTTTCAATGAAAGTCAGCAAAGATAAAGATAGAGGAAGAATCCCTTTTTCAACGTCTCTTTTTGCCTCGGGCTCCACCAGACTCTAGAATCACCACTGCGTACTTTGCACATGGCGGATGAGGCTTAACAGGGACAAAAAAGTTTCCCGCCTTTAATTGGCAATATGTGAAACCTAGTTAAATACTGACACTGATGTTTGTTATAAAAGTCAAGAGTCTAAACACTGATAGAATATCTGCGGAAGTATTGACATGCCCTTGAGCCACAGCTGTACTCTGTCTCAACTCATGTTAGCACATGCTAGATGCTAGCTCATGTTAGCTCATGTTAGCTCATGTTAGCATGCTAATACATTTTAAAACAACAGTAGGAGTGCAGAACAAAACTGTAAGGGCTACTATTAAACTGCAGCGAGTGAGCATTGTCACTGTTTGCATGTTCGTCTTTGGAGGTAGCATTTAGCTGTTAGCTATCCTGTGCTAAATAACAGCCTGAGAGAACAGCTAGCATAGTTAAGCTAGCTACAATTATGGGAATATTATTTATGCATGATTCATTCATCTAATCTAATCTAATCAATCAGTCACTGAAGCACAGGTTTCTATGCATAAGGCTGACGAAGCTAACACGTTTACTTTTATATTGATAACTAAAAAAGAGTCTTTAAAGTTTCATTAGCAGCTGCAGCCGTCGATTTCTTAACAAGAAATCTTAAAGAAAAGACAGAACCTCTTTTTTCAACCCTCTTTGTAACGACATATTGTGAAAGTCAGACATAAAGTTTCCCTTTCTAAATTTCAGTTCCCACTTCAAACGAGATGAATCCTTTGCCTTGAGATGAAGCGTTGTGTGATCATTAGTGTGACTGCTGGCTCGGGGTTTTTTTGGGGGGGAAATGAATGACTGACATTATTCCCGCTCGTGCGCGCCTTGTTGCCTGATGATTGCTTTTCCCTCCTCTTGCAGGTAAAGAGGAGGCAGGTGATGAGGAAGAGGATGACAACGGTAATGTAGCTCTACGGACCATTAACACATGTTGGAGCCCCCTCGGCTCCACCACGCGGCCTCTTCATGTCATTTGTCATCAAAAATTGAATTTCCTACTCGCTCGCTCCAATTCAGTCTTCCCATCCCGTGTGCCATCGCTGTGACAAAACAAAGTTCTCTTATCACACACACTCGGAACAAAGAAATCCCTCAATTATGCATGCCTTTAGAAGTGACATCCTTTTTTTCCCCTTCTTTTTCTGTCACTTAATTTATGCATGTCTTTGTGGTTCCATTGCTCTCACACTGCGGTACAAAGACTAAAAGCTCCACAAAGCGAAGGGACTGAAAAGGCTGTTTGAGGTGATATCGAAAACCAAGTCATTTCCCCCACCAGGCAACAGCACTAAACTCGATTGTTTTCCTCTTCCTCTTCTGTTTCTAGATGCTGCGGGAAATGAAGACGTGGAGATGGAGAGTCAAAACCCAGGTATAGTAGAGCTACAAGTCCAGGCTCCAGCATGGATCGAGGTGTGATTGTGTGTTAGTGAGAGTGTGTGCGGATACTCCTGGAGAAGGAAGGAGCTACACATTGATCTTGACTCTTATCTCTGCGGGAGATAGGAATAGTATGAGCTGACCCGTGTGCGGCTCATTTCTCTGCTTTTCACTCGATCTCGGAGTTTGATTAAAAAATCTAACTTGATCAGTCCTGTTAGCAGCAGAGGAATGACTCGTACACAAAGCTCTAAATCTTTGTGGCTCACAGGCTGCAGGAAACAGACCCTGAGACACTGATGGGTTTTTGTTGTGCTGACAGCAACAGTCTTAAGTGAATTAAGTGTGTGTGAGTGTGATTGTGTGTGTGTGCGTGTTACAAAAGGGGCGACCATTAACTTTGAGCTTGCACAATTTCTTTTCTCCAAATACGTTTCGTCGCTGCTTCTGCTTGCTCTATAATTAAGATTCAGCATTTGCATACTGGCAGCGAGCAGCACCTCGCCTCGCCTCTCGTTCTGTTTTTGTTTTATTCAAATCCCATCCCATTGACTGAGATTTGACAGATAGAGCCTCTCTGAACATGAATTTTTGTAGATATTCTATGCAAGAGTTATGGTAAAGCAGCCCCGGGATGCTGTCCAAGACCTGAGATTTTTGTAATTACTTTCTCAAGAGACACAAACAAAGAGGCAGGAGCGAGGAGGAGCGAGGATATACAGTTTGAAACAACACCCGCAGGCCAATTCAGAGGCATTGCATCATTCTTGTCAGTGTGTGTGTAGGTGTGTGTGTGTGTGTGTTTATTGCAGGTGAAACTACCAACCACAAATCAATATGTTGCTCAATTATGTATCTTTGGTTACTTTAAGATAAAGCTCTGGACATCTTAACAGACCACTGAAAAATGTCCTGCCTTTCCTGCTACAACTGGTTTGTGTTTAAAGGAAGAATGATCGACATGTTCCACATAAATAAATCATAAAGTCTGTCCTGTGTAAATGTGTCTCTGAGTCCTGACTGTCTACAATGAGGGAGAAGCTCGAGTCCCGCTGGCTGTGTTGTTGTCAGAGCCGTGTTTACATGGGCGGGACGGCCGGCTCCTCCCCTTGTGTATAAAAGCTGTTTTAGTCAAGAACTAGAGAGAAGAAGAAGAACATACTCACTGATTATTTGGATGTTAGTAAGAGTTTTTAGATCACGCTCATTCTGTGTCAGTTTACATGAAATGTGAAGCTACGAGCTAACTAAAGAGCGCTAACATTAGCATGCTAACAGAACAATGCAGCTCGAGACAAGCCGCTTAGCGCTTGATTATGATGCGTTCCAATTTGATAGTTCCTTGAATTCTGATATATATGTGGAACTTATTGTGCCTTTAAAAAAATCTTCAACATGTACCTTTTCTTTTTATTTGTGGCTGCAGATGATATCACAGAAACCCCGGATCCCACTCAAGGAAAGGATAATGATGACACCGAGAACCAGGACAAAGAGGAAGACGCAGGGGCCGACAGCGATAACAAAAAAGACGAGAAAGACAAAAAAGACGAGGAAAAAGACACCGACAACCCGAAAGAGAAAGATGAAGAAGAAGACAAAGGTGTGTACACAAAGCTGTGCATGTTTGCTTTTTATCCTTTCACATCACAAACTTTGAGGTGCATGAGCTGTCACTCACAAATAATAATAACAGCAGATTGAAAAAGCTCCAGGTGATCGTCTAATTTCCTCATTGTTTTTTTTTTATCACCATATGAAGCAAAATATCCACAGGGCAGTGAGGCAGACTGATATGAAAAAACGTCAGCTCGATGCATGAAACCCTAAATGTCTCACATGGAAACATGGACGTTAACAGCGGTTTGAAATGACACGGCTGGAAGATTGAACACAAAAAAAAAAGCACAATAAGGGTGTTCCACTTTTTGTATTCCTCCCTGACAGCGTTTGAATCGATGCAGATGTATATCCCAGCACAGAATAATCACAGCAACATTCAGATTGTGTTCAGGATTAGAAATTGGACACGGAGTTGTCCATCACTGGAGCCTCACAGTCACACTGCATCCTCAGACATAATAATAATAATAACTTTATTTAAAAACACAGGTTTACAAAGTGCTTCAACAAACAGCAAAAACAAGAACAAATCAAACTAAACCAAACACAGAAGAACATAACAAATGCAAAATACTAAAAAATAATTAAATACAATTCAACAGAAAAGAACCCAAAGTGCATGATACACAACAGACATATAGAACCCGACCATCACAAGAACCATCATAAGAACCATCACAAGAACCATCACAAGAACCATCATAAGAACCATCATAAGAACCATGACAAGAACCATCATAAGAACCATCATAAGAACCATCATAAGAACCATCACATTATAAGAACCATCACAAGAACCATCATAAGAACCATCATAAGAACCATCACAAGAACCATCATAAGAACCATCATAAGAACCATCATAAGAACCGTGACAAGAACCATCACATCACAAGAACCATCACAAGAACCATCATAAGAACCATCACAAGAACCATCACAAGAACCATTATAAGAACCATTATAAGAACCATCATAAGAACCATCATTAGAACCATCACAAGAACCATCACAAGAACCATCACAAGAACCATCACTAGAACCATCACAAGAACCATTATAAGAACCATCATAAGAACCATCACAAGAACCATCATAAGAACCATCACAAGAACCATCATAAGAACCATCATAAGAACCATCACAAGAACCATCATAAGAACCATCATAAGAACCATGACAAGAACCATCACATCACAAGAACCATCACAAGAACCATCACAAGAACCATCACAAGAACCATCATAAGAACCATCATAATAACCATCACAAGAACCATCACAAGAACCATCACAAGAACCATCACAAGAACCATTATAAGAACCATCATAAGAACCATCATTAGAACCATCACAAGAACCATCACAAGAACCATCACAAGAACCATCACTAGAACCATCACAAGAACCATCACAAGAACCATCATAAGAACCATCACAAGAACCATCACAAGAACCATCACAAGAACCATTATAAGAACCATCATAAGAACCATCACAAGAACCATCACAAGAACCATCATAAGAACCATCATAAGAACCATCACAAGAACCATCACAAGAACCATCATAAGAACCATCATTAGAACCATCACAAGAACCATCACTAGAACCATCATAAGAACCATCACAAGAACCATCACAAGAACCATCACAAGAACCATCACAAGAACCATCACAAGAACCATTATAAGAACCATCACAAGAACCATCACAAGAACCATCACAAGAACCATCATAAGAACCATCACAAGAACCATCACAAGAACCATCACAAGAACCATCATTAGAACCATCACAAGAACCATCACAAGAACCATCATAAGAACCATCACAAGAACCATCACAAGAACCATCACAAGAACTCAACAACACGAGCTGAGACCAAGAGGAATCAAAGATTTAAAAAGGTGTAAGAAACTAAAAGAGCTAAAAGTAAATCAAAAGAGAACAGCAATAAGAAGGTAAGAGCAGGAAGAGAAATAGAAACAAGTGGTTAGATGATCAAAAAATAATATTTATAAAAATAAAAAGTTTATATACATATAAAACATAAATAGACAAAGTAAGTAAGATAAAAAATGACCAAGTTAAAACATAAGCGGAGTTAAGATGAGAGCATAAATAAAAGGACAGTAAGAATAAAAAGAAGACGATGACATGGCGGCTCAAGCTTCTTTTTTGCAGACGTGTGTTCGACTTATGGCGCGTCGATGTGTCACAGACGTCACAGCTTTTGTTTCCTCCAGCAGAGGACAAGCCACCTGCCGAGAAGACAGACGACGACGACGACAACACAGTGAAGTCCACCGTGGAGATGGAAGGTAAGATGTGATTAGCTTGGAATAGATTCGATCTGATTGAGAGTCTCTCCGGGACGACTCTCCATCAATGTGATTCTCTCCTCCACTCCGCTGTATTTCTGTCCTCTTTTGTTGTATTGAATTAGCAGCGCCAGTGTTTGTGGTTGTTTTTGTCGTCTGCTGTTTGTCGGACAAAGTCTCAGCCTGTCTCAGATCTACTGCATCAGACGTGATTGAGCAGGAAGTGCGGGGCATGCAGGAAGCCTCAGGAGGTGTGAAAAACATGCATGGTGGAGGGGCTGCGTGCAGGTTTCAAATCAAGACTTCCTGTCAAATCTGAGGTCACAGACGCACTTTTAATACCTTCTTTATATCGTCCAAGATGTGGACTACGTCATATAAATCGGTGCAACCAATATATGAGTATAATGTGCTGAGAGAGCGCTTTTATCCATCTAAAGCTTCACCACGGCTGTCATGACAGAAAGTGAGGCCGCCACCATGTAAACACAACATGCAAACTAAGCCCCTCCTCCTGGGCTCATCGCCACCAGAAGCTCACCCTCACTGCAGGACGTAGTGTGTATGTTTACTGCTTGTGCCTACACTGCAAGCTACTTCAGAATATTACATTTGCTGTCTTGGAAAAGTTGATAATTTAGCACAAGCTAACGGCCGGTGTTCATCACCTTCCTGTCCAAACAGGAAGTAGATCAACTCCATGTCCAACACAAGGTTCACCCTCGTTTCAGAACGATCTTTATCCACTTGGTGTTTCTCCTCACTCTCATTATATTTTCTCTTCTTTGCTGCTACGTCCACGTCCGTCATAGTCACCGCTTTAAATGGCGTCCAATCACTGAATTGTATCCACTCCTAAACTCACCTGCTGCGCTGTCATTGGCTGGAGGAAACACACTAGCTCCGCCCCCAGAAACGTCCCGAGTCAACCAGAACAAATCAGAACAGTAAAATCCAGTGAGAGGACAGAGTCTCTGCAGACACAGTCACCACCACACATGTATGGAGGCCCAGAAGGGACAATGGAGCAGCTTCACTTTAGGAGAAGTCTGTCTTTTATTTTGAAGGAACCAGCCAGCTTCACTTTAGGAGAAGTCTGTATTTTATTTTGAAGGAACCAGCCAGCTTCACTTTAGGAGAAGACTGTATTTTATTTTGAAGGAAGCAGCCAGCTTTACTTTAGGAGAAGTCTGTATTTTATTTTGAAGGAGGAAGCTGCTGACTCCATTTTTAAGATTCGATCAGGTCGAAAGAAGGTTGCGTCCTCCTCCTCTTCAAACAGTCGGTCCTTTTCTCTCACCTCTCAGGAAAGATTGCTCCTTGACTTTTTTCTTGTTACTGCAGTTTACACCTGTTTACATCTCGTCATTAAACCACGGGACAAACTGTAGGTTTAATAACATATCTTAAGGGATTCCAAATTCCCAGATCTTTCTCAGAGCTGAACATGTGTGTCACACAGAAGAGAGTTTTTGAACACGTCCACAAAAACCTGGGCTGATTGGCGTTGATGTGGCCTCACCTGCTCCAGCGTCGTCAACATGCCTGAGGTTGTTGAGCTTTGTGTGTTTGGGGCAAAAAGTCGACGACATTTTTACAGCCAAATTTTTTGTGTGTGTGCCAGACTTATTTGTTTTTGTCTGTCTCTCCATGTGACAATGTGGGATAATCTGTCTTTATTTCTCCTCCCTCCAACATGCTCACTGATTACAGTTTCCTCTGGAGGGTTTAGATTTCTGCCCCCCCCCTTTGCTGCACTAACAGAAAGGTCTGAGTGACTCCCTCACCTCCATTTCACTTTCTCTTTGACTGACATTCAATTAATTTAAGGGTTAGAGTGAACCTTCCAGATAGATCCATCCCAGATCGCCGTCTCCATCCTCCTCTGTGAGAAGCCATCGGAAAACATCTCACAAACAGCACAGGCCTTCCATCACTGGAAACCTTCACTCCAGCCTGTTGATTGTCTCTCTCTCTCTCTCTCTCTCTCTCTCTCTCTCTCTCTGTCTCTTTCTCGCTCGCTCGAGCCCGACACTGTCTGTCTGTCACTGTCCAGGGTTAGCGCAGGCTGTGTGCTGTGTGTTGGCGCTGTCAGGCTGTAAACAGTGGTGTCATTCCTGATTGCAGGCATATTGTATTTTTGTACAGAGAAGCTGAGCCTCGGACGAGAACCGTCTGGAATATTGAGTCTCATGCAGCTCGGCGTAAACAGACACTCACCAGACAAGAGCAAACGATTCCTGAGCCCAATACCCCTTATTAAAAAATAATAACTGTAATCAGGCTACCTGCTCGTGGAGGTTAAACCTGCTGCTTTGAGAGGAGTAATAAAATGGTTTATAATGAGGGGAGGAATGAGTAATGAATAAAAACCATTTGAGAAGAGAACAGAATATGAGGTTTCATCCACCTACTCACAAGTCAGAGTGTCTGTGGAGGTCTTTCACACCAGCCTACTACCTGTCTTTTATTCACCATTATATCTGAATTTATAATACAGAACGTGTTTTTTAATCATTTCTTTATTCTATGTTACTTTTTTTCCACAGTAGCAGATAACTTGTGCAGAAACTTTAACAGATTTATTCACATTTGCAGAGCATAACTTCTCCCAGAGGACTCACCTGTTCCCCATCTGGTTCCTCGCTGATAGAGACCCCCGTTTTCTCCTCGTGTTCACCTTTCATGTTGTCAGTCTGTGAAACCTTTAGAGTAGCTTAGCATGATTAGCAGATCAAAAAAGTCCTTATTTATCTGATACTGACGTCAGTAAAAACACTTATTTCAGCCTCTACCTGAAACGCTTCATTTCAGCTGCTGTCTCTTTAAGAACCCCCCTCCCAATGTGCCCACTCTCTTCTGACTGGCCAGCTCTCTGGAAGCCTCCAGGCGGGGCAGAACGCTGCAGGGCTGCCAGTGGAGGGCTCCTCTGAGAGTCTATGTACGAGGTCTCACTGGCTCAGGTCGCCGTCTGGTGAAATTCTTAAACTACGACACCGCTCGGCTAAACTACGTTTCCCATGAGCATCACAGAGATTTAATCGTTTTAAAACACCTGGTATCAAAAAGTATCAAAAGTGTTGACCAAATACTCCATACTGCCTCGTACATACTCACAATATAAATAAAGCATACAGCATATTAACTGGACCGTTGGTATGCTGTTAGCTAAAATGCTAAAATACGCGCAAACTTCCGGTCTGAGCTACGTTCGATGAGCTAGCATCAAGCTAGCACGACAACAACATGCAAACGTTCATTTCTAAAACAACTAAGTTTTTAGATTTATTTTTGTGCCTTTATTAGAGAGACGGGACAGTGGATAGAGTCAGAAATCAGAGAGAGAGAGAGAGAGAGAGAGAGAGAGAGGGAATGACATGCAGGAAAAGAGCCACAGGTCGGATTTGAACCCGGGCCGCCTGATTGGAGGACCACAGCCTCTGTACATGGGACGCGCGCACTAACCACTGTACCCCAGCGCCCCAACTATGTAGTAATTTTGATATTATTTGGCAACATGTAAAATGTATTTCAGCACAGAACTTTAAATTGAAGTCGCTAGTTGGCTAACTGGCGAGCTCTGCGATTGGATAGTCTCAGTGAGAGCTGCAGTGCATTGTGGGGCGGTTTAATATGCTCCTGTTTCATAATTAACAATTCTGGCAGATCGAGTAAACATCGGGTTATTTCTCGCTAGCACAAAATTGCATACTTTGATTTCAGACACAGCATTTGTCTCTGTTTTTTAAATCCTGTACCTGTGTGAACACCTGCTTCTATATTACAACACAATCTATATTTGCATTTGACTTCACCATGAAGTCCTTGAACATCATCATTGCAGGAGGCTTAATAATGAACAGGTCACACTCTGAATCTCAGCGATCCCACATACATGCACGCCGTGTCATTGTCAGACACCTCGCCGCAGCGTTTTCAGACTCCATCCTTTTTGCATCTTCACATCCACGCCCGCGTACTCCCCAGATGTCAGCCGTGTCTGCCGACACCCTGCTGTTCTCATGTCGCTCGCTGTTGCACATATGGAAGTGTGTTTCACAGCAGAACCTTCTCGGTTCCCGGGCGCCGTCGCACTGAATAACCCCGACGCTAAAGAAAGCGTCTCTGTGTTTTTATTCATTATCTTTACAGCTCGTTAATGTCATTATTTATTCAGTCTGCACACTTCATGAGAGAAGGCAGGAAGCTGCTCTGCTGATGTCGTATCACTTCTTATTACCTCATGATGCCATCTGTTGTTTACATTAGAAGTCTGCTCGTGTTAATGTGCAGTGATGGTGAGCGTTTGGGTCCCTTAGCGGCTTCAGTTGAACACAATATCACAGAGAACGGAGAGCTTTAAGATGTAGTTTGGGGTCACAGGGGGGGTGGAACCAAACCCAGCTGTCATTAGGCCTTTTGTAAAACTGTGTTTAAGGTGTTTCTGTGTAGACGTGTGATGTCATCGTGCGACGCTGTCACTTTTGTTTAAATGAGATTAGTGCGATGGCAGACGTCACCAAACTAGTACTGGTGCTAACGTTGCTAACTGGACTTTTTACTCGCTCACATAAACACAGTTACTCTCCCACTATGTTGACGAGCAGAGATGCCTGATTGGACGACTTTGTAAAATGAAATGGTCGTTGCAGAGGAATGGCGAGAACATTTTGGCATGTAAAAGTCATCGTTTTTGACTTTCTCATAGCGGCCGTAAAAGTTGTGTTTTCATGTAGATGAAGATGTGTTGGAGGGATTATTCTTTAAACAGAGGAGGAAACCCGCCTACGTGTGGACTAGGCCTTACCTCCAGTTCCCACATACTCTGTGCTCGCCACGGTTTTGCTCGGTCGGACGGTGCACACCCTGCCCCACGTTTGACGCCTGTTTTGACATAATGTTGATGCCTGTTTTGGAATATACGATCAGGAGTTTATATGTTGTGTTTTATTTTGAAATTGACCCCGATGCTCTGTGCATTTCCTCGTCTGCCTTCCTCT